TTTTTGTGTGTGTATTGAGTTGCTTAAGTTCTTTATGTATTTTGGATATTAACCCTTTATCTGATATGTCATTTGCAAATATCATCTCCCATTCAGGAAGTTGTCTTTTAGTTTTGTTGATTGTTTCTTTTGCTGTACAGAAGCTTTTTCTTTTGATGTAGTCCCAGTAGTTTATTTTTGCTTTTTGTTTCCTTTGCCTGAAGAGGCATATCTGGTAAAGCATTGCTATGGCCAATGACAGAGAAATTACTGCCTGTGCTCTTTATTATGATTTCTATGGTTTTAGGTCTCATATTTAAGTCCTTAATCCATTTTAAAATTATGTTTATGCATGGTGTAAAAAAGTGGTTAATTTTCATTCTTTTGCACAAAGCTGTCCTGTTTTCCCAACACCATTTGTTGAAGAGACTGTCTGGATTCTAATTCTTAGAAGGAATTTTTAGTAATAATGGTAGCTACATGGCACAAAAGACAGGGACTGTGTAGTTAGAGCATGTTCCTACAAAATTGGACTTAGAATGATCTTGAAGTGTCGTCTTCAAAATAACATTTCTGGATAAATTACAAGCAAAATTGGAAAGCAGTTGATATTTTTGTTTTTTTTCCTGCTCAAAACTTCTGATACTACTACAAAACTTTTAATCACTACTGTTAAGCCACTCTGTTTCCCTTATCATTTTATCCATTCCCCTAGTGGTAAAAGCATAAAGTCATGGCAGGCAGACAAAACTACAGAAACAGGGAGCAGATTAGTGGTCACCAGGGGATGGGTGTGGATGGGAAGAGTACAAATAAAGGGATAACATAGGAGAGTTCCTTTGGAACTGTTGTGTATTTCTTTTTATTTAAATATTTTATTTTATTTTATTTTATTTGAGAGAGAGAGAGAGAGAGAGAGAGAGAGAGAGAACGAGTAGGGAGAGGAGCAGAGGGAGAGGGAGGAGAAAGAATCTAAGACAGACTCCGTGCTGAGCACAGACCTGATGCAGGGCTCCGTCCCAGGACCCTGAGATCGTGACCTGAGCCCAGACAGTCAGACGCTTAACCAACTGAGCCAGCTGGGTGTCCCAGAACAGTTGTGCATTTGGATGGTGATGGTGGTTAGATGAATCTAGCCGTGGGATAAAATCGCAAAGAACTACACACACATGAAGGCACAGTGGGAACTGAACAAGGTCTGTAATTTCCTTAATAGTACTGTACCAAGGTCCATTTCTTGGGTTTTGATATTATGCTGTAGTTATGTAAGATGTCACCGTCAGGGGAAGCTGAGAGAAGCATTCACAGAACTGTGTACTATTTTCACATCTCTCTGCGAGCCTATAAGCATTTCAAAATAATAAATTTCAAACTTAAAATAGGCAACAACAACCACGTCAAAGCATTTTTTTAAAGAAATGAAAGAGGTACCGCTCATGAGCGAGCAGCCCATGATAAGGAGCTCCCCCTTAAAGATAGTGTATACAGTATTTCTGAAAAGTGAGCCAGAACACGCAGTGCTTGCCTCGGATTTAGATGTTAGGCAGTTACGAGATTAAAACGTGGCTAATGAGCGCACACTGCAAAAGAAACACTCTAGCTTTCGTGAGGGTATGTGAGTATAAGCAGTAGATTTCTGATCTGACTTCACTTCATGTATGTCCTGCCTTTGTCTGTGCTGTCTCTGTCGGTTCCACAAGTGTATTTGCTCATGGACTTGCTTCAAACCATTTGTAGAACAGAATTCTTCTATATAGCATTATTGTTGTCTTTTAAAAAGTCACTTATTACATGTACATCACAGGAAGCTTTGGAAATACAGATCAACAGTAGAAAAAAACTGCCTTTAATCCCACCACTCCAAAATAAATACTGTTGACATTTTCTGTCTTTAATTCCAGTCTTATTCTCTCTCTACATGTAAATGCTTTTCTTTTTTTTAATGCTTTTAAAAACTACATGAAATCCTAATTTTGTAAACTTGTTTTACTTATTGATGTATGTGTAGCAATGCGCCATTTCCCCAGATCATTAAATACTTCTGCCCCACACACATGATTTATTGATTACATAGAATTGTATCTTGTGGATGAACAGCACCTTAACTAATCCTCGTGATTGGACATGTAGGCTGTTTCCCTTTTTCCACCATTAGAAACAAGGGTTATCATCAACATCCTTAAGGCTGAATCTTCAGACACAGTCATGATTATTTCTCTTAGGAAGAAATCTCAGAAGTGGAATTGCTGGAGTAGGCAAAATGTCAAAGCTTTTGATTTTTATTGTCAAAGATAAGCATCATTTAAAAAATATGTTGTAAACGAAAACCTTATTTGAACAACAAGACGCTTTACCCACAGGGAAACTCAGGATCAGTTTCTTTAGAGTGCTTCATCACTTCTTAGAGACAACTGCCATCACCAAATAGATGAATTGTTTTGACAGAATTAAAAGAAAAACATTGAAACTATCTAAATAAACAAGTTATGCAAGAACTTTTTGCTATTTTTTATTTTTGTTAAATGATGAGAGCAAAATAATTTACTCGAACAAAAAGAAAACAAATGAAATCAACATGCCACTAGTGGGGAATGGGGTATTTACATTTCCCCCTTTTCCCATTTGATGTTGATTAAAGTATATTTTTGGTTATATATTTTTTAAGCATTATGACTGTGCACGCATACCACCATCTTTACGTATGATGAAGGAGTGGGGTAAAAAAATTTTATGGGAAAAACACACTATATAGTGTGTTTGTAATGTTGCAGAATTCTGTTGCATTTTTCTAGTTGTGAGTGTCCTGTTTGTAGGCACGAGGGGACCTGGTTCTGGCTTAAAGATCATATTTGATTGGGCGTCTGTAGTATTTTGCTGAAACACCGCAGTTGTATGTTTTTCTGCATTTCCAACTGAGTGACTATGTCACTTTGCTTATCTAGGTAATCATCAAAATACGGTCTCATCTTTCCCATTTGGAAGCCAAATCCTTAACCACAGGTTTTCTTTACTTTACCAAGTGAGGCTCCGTCTTGTGTGCTTCCAGCTCCAGACATTTACGTCCATTGTCTTCAGCCTCCATCTCCTTCCTTGGATTTTTCATTGGTCCCTACTTCATGGGAAGATGTGAGGTTGACGCAGAAGGAACATTAGATCACACCATGAGTAGAAATAAGGCTCGGATACTTTTTAAATAAAATGTCTGAACTTTTAAGTAGAATGGTATTATCTGTAGTTTTTTATTAACCTTTCAATGACAATGAGTGGACCCTAATAAATGAGATATTGGATTCTTGGATTAATTTCCCACACTGGGACACAATTAAAGGTTTCGATGTTGGAAAGGCAACAAGACAAATCCATGAGTGTTTGACATTCTTTTGTTCTTCTTCTTAGTCATGAACACATCATTTTACACTATGCATATGGTGGTGAAATTTTGTTTGAATATAATTTATGAGATCAGGATTGCAAAGACTTCTTTCCCTTTCAGCTCTGTGTTGGTGTTTTCAATGATCATTATTATTATTTTTTTTATCAATGGCATTGAAATTTCCCTCAAAGAGAAATTCCTCTTGCTGGGATTGGTGATAAATACTAATTACTGGATTAGGGATTGTTTGTCTTTTATGAACCTCTTTTCTTCCGTGGTGTCTGTTGGCTAGCTATGGGACTTCCCTTTTTATTCTTACTGTAATGTAACTCTTTCTTTTTAGGTTTTTGTTTCAGTTCCAGTTAGTTAACATAAAGTCTAAGAATAGTTTCAGGTGTACAATGTGGTGATTTAACACTTCCCTATAGCACCCGGTGCTCTTCACAACAAGCGCACCACTTAATCCCCATCACCTATTTCACCCATCCCCCTACCACCTCCCCTCCGGTACCATCAGTTGGTTCCATAGTTTAGAGTCTGTTTCTTGGTTTGTGTGTGTGTCTCTCTTCCCTTTTCTCCTTGGTTTTGTTTCTTAAATTCCACCGTAATGTAATACTTTTGAAGTTGAAAATAGCCCTGTGAAGAAACTGGCAGAGCGTTCCAAGTGGTAAGAGTTTCTCGAACCTACAGTGGATTTTGCTGCGCTAGGAATGGCATATTTTTATCTGGTCCGAATTGATGGCGTTTCTCTGTCCTCAGCATAAACTCGGTTCAGCACTTAGGAAATACTATTCCTGTAAGAAATAGAGTCGTAATTTAAATACAAATTTTTCCTCGAAAGGGACTACCCTCTTTGAGTTTATTTATTCTGTTGTATGCCGTACTTTGATTTCTCTTTAAACTCATTTTATGAACCTGTTACCTGCTCCCACCTCTCCATGTGAAATTTTCTGTACAAACTGAGAGGAATTGTTTCTCAGAGAAACAAATTAGGCTTCATATGAAAGGGGGTCTCCCATGGGTTTGAATGAGCAAAAATTATACAGATTTCTAAAGATTTCACATATATATCCTTATATATAAAGATTTCCCACATATGTTATATATATACATAATAAATGTGTTACCTTTCAAACAAAAAACTGAATATGAGCCTCTTGAAATTTAGTGCAAAGGAAGTCTTTTAAATATTACCACTAAAAAATAATTTATTTACATATGTTTTTTTAAAAAAAGATTCAGGTAATATTAATTCTTCATATCCGCCTGTTGAAAAATTTTTATAAGTGACATAGAGTCCTATATGCCTTTTATGATATCAGGGGCATTCCTGTAATATTTAAATTCATACACTTATAGCTCTTCCCTGCTTAATTAAACTCAATATATGAAAAATCCATATCTTAGAAGATGACTGCCCAAGAGTCAGGCTGGTGGATTTTACACATGAATTTTTCACAAAAATATGAATTACCCTTAGTTTCACATACCACCCTGACACATAGAAACAGTGTGTATTGTATGTATTAAAATATTCTCAATTTATCCTTTATTAGACTTACGTGATTAGAATGCCAGTGAATTAAAAGATCATTGCTCTTTATTTCTCCAAACTTATAAGAGTTTCTACTTTCTTTTTCTCTAACAGATATAAGCTTACCAAAGTCGGCAACAATATGCTATACAGCTGCCTTGCTCAAAGCAAGAGCTGTCTCTGACAAGTAAGTGAATAATGACTTGTGTGGTACTAAATGTCTGACCCGACTTAAGGAGATGTGTTGCCTCCGAGGGCTTTCTCTGGAAGTTTCTCTCAGTCTATGAGACCCCTGCTTATGAGCATGCATTTTTCTAAAACCTGCTGATCTTTTCTTTCACTACTAGAAGGAGGGAATATATATCCCCAGGTATTGTAAGGGTGTATGGGTCCCTAAAGAGGGAATTATGTGAAATTCCATACCTCTGAGGTGACTTTTTTTTTTTTTTTTTTTTTTTTGCCAGACAGTAGATACCGAAAGGCCTGCTTGGGACTTACACAAATGCCTTCCTTTTATTCATTTTTCTTTTTTGCGTATTCCTCTTCCTTCAGCAGTCCAAGACTGGGTAGTAGTCCTAACAAACCTGTAAGATGGCACAGGGATGATCATCTCCCATTCTTTGACTCCTCAGTTCCACACCAACCCCCCCACCCAGGGTCCGTTTGCTTTGAGTTGTCATTTCAGTGGGACATTTGCCCATTTTATTCAGGCAGGTGACTATGGCATAGAGAATTTCCATGAGCAGCCGAGATGACTGGCAGGTGAAAGCGAACAGTTGGCTTCACTGTTTTTGAGTTCCTAAACGCTCACGTTGCCCGATACAATCCCTCTGAAGCGTTGAAAAGCAGATAACAGGAAAAGAAAACAGCCTCTGCTATGTCAGACAGGTTTGCTGTTAAGTGTGTGTGCACTTCAAGACCGAAGTAATTTTCTTTCATTCTTTTTTATCCTGTAGATCGCCAGTACCTACTGCAACATCTTTTCTCCCTACACAGCGACTCCAGCTTGGGAGGGCAGGGCCAGGGTTGTCACAGCTTCCCCTGTGGTGTCTGCCTGCCAAGCACAGCTCTGGAGTTAGCCCTGGGTGTGAGGTGAGAAAGAGATTGCATGGTCTGGTTTTTTTCATTCACCTGGGCAGGTGTCTGGCCCGCAGTTTGGGCACGCACACCCCCTGCCGGCACGGCCCCAAGCAGGCTCGCCTGCGGTGGAAGCTGCATCGCAGCACTGACGTTGGGTTGGGAGCCTCCTGTAAAATTATCCCCAGTTCTGTTTTTAACCAAGTACGCTCTTCTGTAACCTAGTTTTCTCTTTTTCCTACACTGTCCGCCCTCGTCAGTCTCCCCCCCCCCCGGCCCTGACCGAAGCAGGTACCTCACAGAAAATTTAGATTAGCTATTTAGACAGAGAGACTTGACAGCTGAATTTAATTCCTGCCAAGATTAGATGCAAGCACGCTTTCTGCTTCTGCGGGGGTTTTTGTTGGCCTCGGTCTGAGGGGTCGCTCAGAGGTTCCACGTAGTGGAGGTGTGGAGAGCTCATGCCATTGGCTCGCTGTGGTTTTATGGGCCCTTGACGTGTAGACGCCTGTCCGGGTTGATGCCCGAGCAGTGGTCCCAACTGGATGGTGTTTGTCTTTCTGCTTTTCAGATTCTCTCCCGAGGCTGCATCTCGGCGGGGGCTGAGCACAGCAGAGATGAATGCAGTAGAGGCCATTCACAGAGCCGTGGAATTCAATCCTCACGTGCCAAAAGTGAGTCCGTGGGATCCCCACAGGAGCTCGTTACGCTAGCTAGTGGAGAAAGTGTTCAGTGGCCACGGTGTCGGGTCTCGAATACACCCCGTGGGAAAAAAAGATGAAGTGCAGCCAGTGAACGCTGAGGCCTCTCGCCCATGGTCATCAGCTTCATGCTTAAGCAAAAGCCACCTTCAGAGGCCTCGGGCCGGTTTGGGGGCCTTATGTAATCCGGGTAAATGGATAGACCTCGCTGCGGCAGGTCAGGCCAGGACGCCAGAAATTGGCAAAATAGGGAGATCCCAAGAGTGTTGTCGATGCATCTGATAGGAATTTCACACCAGTTATACTCTAACTTAGACCTGACTCGGGAAATGAACCTAGTTTCGAATATAATTGGAAAAAAAAATACTGATTAACGTGACGTTCTGTGTCTATAAATAAATGATAGTTAATCAGTATTGGCAGGAAAGTAGTAAGGAGAACCTCACAGTATGAAGTAGTATTTTCTTTTGACTTGCGAGTGGCATATGTAGGTATATGTAGTAGGAAGTGTTTGTCTTAATTGTTAACCACATGATTGACCAATTTATAAAGACCTAGTATTTCCTATGTATTTTGTCCCTGAATTTGATTTTAAGGGAGTCCTATCATGATAGAGGATATTTCTATAATCTTTTATTTAGGAGATGGGTGTGTGTCTATGATTTGCCTCTATTTGAGTACCTGCTATGCGGTAGGCACATGGCTGAGGGCTATTTTCAGTTTCTCGATATTATAAAGCACATTTTGACCTGGGAAAACTATTCAGACAGGGTACGACAGGCATAATTTTATTTCAGATTTCTGATGAAGACTTTCACTGTTGAAAAATGACAAAGGAAGGCTTCTTTGTTTTCTCGCAGTAATGTAGCAAAAGGGTGGTGTGTATGTGGGGATTTGTGGTTACCTACTTTATTTTGTTGATCTTCAGAGTGACACAGGTAGATGACCTAACATCATTTCTGAGCTCGGGAATGCTCAGGGCATGCTCATTTTCCCACAAAACAGAAAACCGAAGGATGGTACACAGTGCCACGATTGGCGGGGGATAGATTTATCCACTCTAGTTCCAGTGGATAATGACCAACATAGTGTTTATAGACTTAGGTATTGTATATAGGGCGGTATAAAATATATGTCTTTATTTATTATCTTTTCAGCTAAGTTAAAAATGTTCATTCAGATTTGAATAAAATTTAAAGCTAATCATGAAAACATTGTCCTGAATTCCAGTCAACTTAGGTCATCGATATTTATTGAATGCTGCATTCAATACAGAGTTATTCTAAGAGCACAAATAAGCTCTTCTAGAAGTAGCATTGAACAACGGAGTCCTAGACTCTGAGACAAAAACAGGTTCAAGTTCTGGCTCTGTCACTCATTAGCCATGGGTGCTTGGGGTTTAGCATTTCTGAACTCAAAGTTTTCCCTCATTTTTCTTTTTTTAAAAATTTTTTTGTTTAAATTCAATTTACCAACATATATCACCCAGTGCTCATCCTATCAAGTACCCTCCTCAGTGTCCGTCACCCAGTTACCCTAACCCTCCACCTACCTCCCCTTCTGCAACCCTTTGTTTGTTTCCCAGAGTTAGGAGTCTCTTATGGTTTGCCTCCCTCTCTAATTTTTTCACCACTCAGTATCCCTCCTTTCCCTTATAATCCCTTTCTGTATTTCTTATATTCCACATATGAGTGAAACCATATGATGGTTGTCCTTCTCCAGTTGACTTACTTCACTCAGCATAATACGCTCCAGTTGCATCCACGTCAAAGCAAATGGTGGGTATTGACCCTTCCTGATGGCTGAGTAATACTCCATGGTGTATATAGACCACATCTTCTTTATCCAGCCATCTGTCGAAGGACATTGTGGCTCCTTCCACGGTTTGGATACTGTGGACATTACTGCTGTGAACATTTCCTCATTTTTCAAATGAAGATAAATATAAACTTTTGTGATAAAGACCCAACTGAGATAATATAGTCAAAGTTCTTTGAAAAACTTGACATCCTATGTTCATGAAGTATTAAAATTATTGATACTTGACTTGTTGGAGGCCCCTTCAGCCTGGAAACTTGAGTCCTAACTCTTCCAGTTATACCAGAGCTTTGTAATCTTACTGCACGAGATAGAAAACTGGTACTTGTTGGTTAGATATTTTATTTTTTATTTTATTTTATTTTATTTTTATAAATTTATTTATTGGTGTTCAATTTGCCAACATATAGAATAACACCCAGTGCTCATTCCATCAAGTGCCCCCCTCAGTGCCTGTCACCCAGTCACCTCCACCCCCCGCCCACCTCCCCTTCCACCACCCCTAGTTAGATATTTTAGTTGAAGCTGTCGTGTACTTCTGTGATAAGGGTCTTACATGGTTGATTGAGCCTCTAGAAGAGCATTAAAGGCTGTAAGAAATAGTTTAAGGCCACCTTGGAAGAATTTGACTCAGCTAGCACTCTTACCTATAAGATAGAATTCTTTTAAAAAGTGAAAGTATTTGAAATATTTGTTTTCACTCTTTTTAATTATTAACTGGAGAAAAGATAGGGTGCATAGGTAAACTGATTCCACTGAAACCACTTTGCTTTGCTGGTGATTGTGCTGAGGGGAAACTTGTTTCCAGATCTTCTTCGTCTATTGACATTTCCATGAGGGAAAAGCCCTGAGTCGCTGTTCAGAATTATGTTCAGAATTAACCACAAACCTCTGGTGCATGTGTACTATATGCAGGCTGTTGCAAACAACTTTTATGCATGATTTCTTGGACTGCTTGCTAATACTTTAATAAACACACACACACACACACACACACGGGTCCCTTTTCAGGCAGAAAGTAACCTTAATTCTAATGAGACATCAGTGAAAGATCTAAACTCCTGGACTCCTGGTGTAAGAAGGGACCTTAGAGATCATCTAGGACACCTTCCCATTCCCAGCTTGAATCTCTCTCCGTAATGATACTGTGATGATTATTTTTAATACTGGTTTTCATTATGTGTTTGCTGTGTGCCAAGCACAGTGCTAAGTGGATTACGCATACCTTCTCCTTGATCTTTCACAACAACACCGTGAGGTGTATCAGAATGCCACCCCGATGGTACACGATGAGGGAGCTGCAGGTTTGGGGAGATTAAGTGACCCGCTCCTGGTCGTACAGCTAGTAAGTGATGGAGCCTGAACTAGTTCGGGGTTCTCTAACCCTTCAACATCATCCTCCACTGCCCCCCACCATCCCACCGGGTTGCAGACCAGCCTAGACTTGAAGCCTTCAAACGATGGCAGGCGCGTGACTTCCCAAGGCGCTTGTGGACAGTAGATGTTCCTTCGAGGTATTTACCGTATCCTAAACACTTCCATGGCTTCCTTTTCTTTGTCACAGGAAGTTGTCAGTGGCCTACCACAGGAATTTTCAACCACTGCATGCCGTTTTACCCAATTATAGTCTTTCGGAGGGAGAAAAAAGTATCAAATAGAGTAGCTAAGAACTATTTGGGTTGCTGAAGAGGAGGTGGGTACGGGATTTGGTACCTGGGTGACAGGCATTAAGGAGGCACGTGACGTGATGAGCACCTGGTATTACACTATATGTTGGCAAATTGAAAAAAAAATTGAAAACAAAAAAAAGAATAGCTGACAACTGCCTTTCACGAATGTCCAGCTTCAGTCTATCTGATATTCTATTAAGCAGAAGTAATAGTTAATATTTCTTTTTTTTAATAAATTTATTTTTTATTGGTGTTCAATTTGCCAACATATAGAATAACACCCAGTGTTCATCCCATCAAGTGCCCCCCTCAGTGCCGGTCACCCAGTCACCCCCACCCCCCGCCCACCTCCCTTTCTACCACCCCTAGTTCGTTTCCCAGAGTTAGGAGTCTTTATGTTCTATCTCCCTTTCTGATATTTCCCACCCATTTCTTCTCCTTTCCCCTTTAATCCCTTTCACTATTTTTTATATTCCCCAAATGAATGAGACCATATAATGTTTGTCCTTCTCCGATTGACTTCTTTCACTCAACATAATACCCTCCAGTTCCATCCACGTTGAAGCAAATGGTGGGTATTCATCGTTTCTAATGGCTGAGGAATATTAATATTTCAACATCCACTGGAAAATATCAGTTACTTACTCCAGGAGGGTTACTCTTAGGAACGCTCTTCACCTGCAAACATGCGGAGTAGGGAGTATTTCTCCTAAACACACCACAGGACCACAAAGTAAAGCAGAATGGTGAAAAGCTGTGGGGCTCGGTTCTGAAGGGAGCCTTTTAAGCAGTCAGGCATGTCTAAAATACACGGGTTTCTGCAGCTTAGATTACAGCAGGTTATAAGGAGGAAGCAGCCCATAGGCTCATTATTACAAACTGAATTGTGTTACTCCCCTCCTGAGGAGCTGCAGCTGTGTCCCTAACCCTACAAAGGAAGATCTGAACTCTTTAAGTGGTTCTTTAGGACCCTTTATGATCTGACCCCAACTTGTTTTTCACTTTTTTTCAGCTACTCTAACAGTCTGTTCCTTGTTCCAGAAACATTCTCCTCCTCTTCTTCCCTCTTTGCTTCCTCTGAGGATATCCTACTCCTCCTTCACCCCCACCATTAAAAGTCACCACCAGGAAACCTGTTCCTTCCCTACCCCAGAATCAGCCTCTCCCCTCTGTGGTCTCTCTCTACAGTGCATTGATTATGGAATTACCATTTATCCCTTTTTGAGGATGACTAGTAGTTTTAGGATCTTAATGATGCTGGGGATTTTTAAGAACAGGGTACACAGTTCAAAACGATGAAAGCTCTAAACCTTTGGAGGATGTTCTCTATTAATGGGATTAAAATAAGAGCTTTGAATTTAAAGGGAATATTTTTCACCTTTTAAAGAAAATTTCGGGCAGCCCGGGTGGCTCAGCGGTTTAGCGCCACGTTCAGCCCAGGGTGTGATCCTGGAGACCCGGGATCGAGTCCCACATCCCCACGTC